TTTTTTTCTTTTTTTTTTTTTTTTTTTTTTTCCTACGCCATATCTGCCCTGCCATCTATAGGGCACTTGTTTTCGTGTTTTATTTTCCTACGGTGGAGGAACAGTACACACATAGGTGGTTACAACACCACATTATGATGATACAGCGCATGCCAGTCGCAGAATACAGTTACCAAGGCGCAACGGGTATACCTCCCCCCTTTTTCTCCACGCAATGACCATGTAATGTTTGGCATCGATTTGTTTCTGGTGGAAGCCCCGTGGTGTCCTTGGATGCACGTCTCCTTGGTTGGCAACTTGGTTATTAGGTTGTTAGTCTGGACTTTAAATTGATTACATTACTCCGTACTTGGCACTCATTCTATAAGACTGACCTCGACCCTGCATCCGAGGCGGCCAACTACTCCGTACTCGATCTAGAAATATCCCACATGGCTACAGAGGAGTTTATCAATTGATTTGACTGGTTGAAGTTGTCTAGATCCCCCACATCGCGCAGCCCCGTATTACTAGTATTGATAAATACCTCGGCATCTCCCCCACAAACACCAATGCGTCACTGGAGCCCCAGGCACCGAGGTGCGATTCCTCCCACGTTAGCCGGAGCCGCAGGTCTCACTGCCGAAGACCCCGGAGTTTGGTCGCCCAGGTGTGTAACAGTGTAGCTAACATGGGCCGAGGACCAACCTTGGGGTTGCATGGTTTGACACTACGGCTTCATACATAATAACCCTAGCTTCCCACAGACTGCCCTCGCCTTGCTCTGACTTCTGTCTCTTTTCTTCCACACACTCGGCGACATCATCCCCGACAGATAGCAGCAACCATGGCCGAGGCCCAATTGGCAGATTTCCCATCCCTCTTCTCGCTGAAGGGCAAGGTCGCAGTGGTGACTGGCGGTTCTCGCGGTCTCGGACTACACGCCGCATCCGCGTAAGTTGAGCCTCGCCACCAAGGAGAAAAGGGCAAGACGAAGCAAGGACAAAAACGGCTAACAATCCGCCAAAAGCTTCCTACAAGCCGGCGCCTCCAAGGTCTTCATCTCGTCCCGCAAAGCCGCCGCCTGCGACGAGGCCTGCAAAGCACTCAATGCGCTTCCCAACCGCTCGCCCGGCGCCGTTGCCATCCCCGTCCCCGCCGACTCGGCCAACATGAAGGGCGTGACGCACCTGCTCGAAGAGGTCAAGAAGCACACTGACCGCGTGGACATTCTCTTTGCCAACGCCGGCGCCACCTGGGGCCAGGCCTTTGACAGCCACCCGGACGAGGCCTTTGCCAAGGTCATGGATCTCAACGTCAAGGCCGTCTTCAACACCGTCCGCGTCTTTGCGCCGCTGCTGGAGAAGGCCGCTTCCCGCGCGGACCCCGCCCGCGTCATCATCACGGCCAGCGTCGCCGGCTTGGGCATCGGCTCCCTTGGCAAGCAGGGCACCTATGGGTATTCCGCGTCCAAGGCGGCCGTCATCCACCTCGGCCGCAACCTGGCCATTGAGCTGGGCCCCAGGGGCATCACCGTAAACTCCATCTGCCCTGGTTTCTTCCCTAGCAAGATGTCGAACGGGCTGCTGGAGATGGCGGGCGGCGCGGACAAGATTGCCAGCAAGAATCCCATGGGGCGGCTTGGCATGCCCGAAGATATTGCGGGTGTGGTGGTGTATTTGGCGAGCAGGGCCGGTTCGCATGTCAACGGCGAGGCCATCGCCATTGATGGAGGTGCGTTGTGGGCGAGGGGGGAGATGGCTTCGTCTGGGGAGGAGAGCTCAAAGTTGTAGATGTATGTGTACGGAAAAGACCAATGCAATGACCGAATGTGAAGTTCATGAATCAGGGGGTCAATGGAAATGCCGTGAGTCGCCACGTCTATTGCTGTGCATATTTCTGCTCACTATCAAAATTTTATACGCAACAACAACGCTTTATCCCCCCCCCAACTCCCAAAACGAAAATGAACACCATGCACTGGGCTTGCCAACTCGTCAAATCTTGCACACAGGCATAGGGTCAATCACCTCCATCCTGTTCCGGCTTCCTTGCCACCCATGCTGCGGCTTTATATACAGTGTGCAACATGCTCTCGCTGTCCTGGATATATGGCGTCTCTATCCCCGTCTGTTTCCACTCCACTGTGAATCCCAGCTTCCCCAGCAACGTCATGACCTCGTCATTAGACAGCTCGAAGCTCCCCGGGTCTGCAATGCCCGACGAGTTATTATAGTCGTGCTCGCCGTCTCCGTCGTCGTCATGCCCATGGTTCCCGGGGGCTTGGTTCTCAAAATGCCACAGCAGCGGGCCGACATTGATGAGAACACCACCTGGTCGGAGACAGTGGTGAATGACTTCCAGATACCGTATCAGATTAGGCGCAGTGTCAAGGAAGAACAGGCTCGCGACAACATCGTACGACTCCTTGTGGTCCTCATCTGCGTACAGGCAGAGAAAATCAGCCGCGCACATGGACATGCTCCCTGCGTCTGCTGTATTGGCCAACGTCGTGGCGGGATGTATGTCGGGCACTTTGTAGCTCCGTAGGTGGTTCGCCCGGGTGAGATGGTTGGAGAAGGTGTGTATCCAGGGGTATATGGTGTATTTCCCAGCCGTTTGGCACTCGTTCAACATGTAGGATGACGCCAGAAGCTGGTGATATGAAATCTCGTTGCCTTCGGCTTCGTATCCCTTGCGGCACAGCTCAAACACCAATCTCCCCAGTCCCGCGCCTGGCACCAGCACTTTCGGTCGTCTGCCCTCCCCGATGCGTGCTCGTTCTTGCTCAAGAGTCTTCAAGATGGGCGCGTAGCAGATGTCGCGCTCCACGGCGCCTTCTGCTGTCCAGTCCCTGTACAATTGTCTGATTGTACTCCGAGCCTTGTCAATATCTCCATGCTTAGCTACGCCTGTCCACTCCAGTGGTATCATGGGCTCGCCCTGTGGTGAGACGGCTGCAAGGTTGTGGAATGACCGTAAACCATGGGCCACAATTGCACGGGCCAGCTCCGCATTAGCATCTATTGCGTCGTCTGTCCTGTCTAGGGTTTCAAGGAAATTGAAAGGGGGCGCCGCCAGCATTTTCCAGTGTGCTTGAGGAAGTGCGTAAAAGGAGCGCCGTCTGAGGTGAGTGACATTAAAGTGTGCGACTTTGGGGTACTGTCTGAAAAGGATGGGGTCAGTACCAAGTCACATGTCACAAATGAACCAAAGATCAATAAGATGAATAGCAGGCAAAGAACCGTTGTGTTGTTATTGGGAGAAGGAGCGGTGCAGCCGGCTCATTGGGGACAAGATTCACAACATGTCTAGGACTTACGAGAAAGAGTCGAGAGCATAGAAAACGACTTTCACCTCCTCTGGATCGTCCATGTTATCTTCCGTGCCGCGCCAGGCGGTAGTATCAGATGACGAAGCTAATTGCTCGCCTTGATCCGCCATCTTGTTGTGTTGGGATATCTAGTCACAGGATACTTATTGCACTGCCAGCAATGGCCGGCTAGCGTGGATTCGAGGCGGCCTTGGTAAAAATAGTTTAGACAGTATCCGGGCCATACAGACTTCTCAAAAGGGATCTCCGGTTTACTAACGAGAACCCAGAATATACAGCATTGGCGGAAGAGCGAGACTTTGGTTTGCTTTTTCAAGCACGGAGGGGAATGAATAGCGGAGCTTGTAGATACGTGCACGATCCAATCAGGCATAACTGCTATAAGGTTCTAGCCAATCATGTGATCTACCTTGAGCATCAGATTTCCATTTCAACACCAGGTAGTTGCATTGTTCATGATCAACAGCTGCGGTTACACACGTCGTAGCTCTTGCGCACACAAACCCCGGAGCATTTATTAAAATTCTTCTCGCCTTGGCACGGGGTACAGACATGGCAGCTATTCAAAATGAACCCCTCAACTTCTCAATACCCCTCCCCCACTCTCTGGACACGCGTATCTACGTTCGCCTGAGCACCCAGGCCAAGGCCATCGTGTTGTCTCTGACCACAGCAACACAAGATGAGTTGGCGGCTCCGAAGCCCATGGGCTCCTTTGTTTATGCATTGCCGAATGTTTGTCAACCCTTGGGCTTGTGTGCAATGTAATGATTGAATGTGGCTAATTGGTGACGTTACATGTAGAGGTTTGATGACAAACAGCCGCTCTCGACGACCCTGTTCCCTTCAGAATCAAGCGTCGAATTCACGACTCGATTGGCAAAGCTTCTAGCCAGGAGAGTACAGTTGCCCGTTTATGTGACTAATTCTATGAGCTTGGCCAACACGGGGATGGGAGGCACTGTCGAGGAGGAAATGGAAGCGTTTAGGAACCTTGTTGCGGTGATAGTTGATAAACTAAAAGCTGCTGGGGCGGGTGCGTTGGCGGCGAATGGGGAGTTTTCCGAGTGATGGTGGAATTTTTGAAAGCATTGGAGAAAATATCACGCCGGTCGCGTGCCTTGGGCTTCGTCGTCAGCAGGATGTGCGCTGAAGGGCCCGCCGTGAGGAAATTTTGCAGCCACCAAGCGGCAATCTAAAGGGTTGGCTGTTTTCATATGGACAACACAGTGTTTGGGTGCTCAAGTACTGCTCCACGTGTCGGGTATGTTGACTCTACGTGCCTCGCCCAAGCGCCGCCGGTTGAATCACGTTGCGGTCATGCAACTGGATGCGACGCGGGGGCATTCTTGAACTGGACCCCCGGTTTTGGCCGCAGAGGCCACCGAATGTTGAAAAATTGCTGCCGACCCCTGGCTTTCGCTGGCACTCGACATAAATAAAATCTGGTAGAGGCAACTTGGACCGTGTGTGTGGTCAGGGGATTGAGCCAATGAGCCTGCAACCCCGACCAGGAATGGATGCCCGGGTTATCGTTATCGCACCCCGCCACCACAATGTCTGGTGCGGGCAAGTTTGTTCAATGTCCAGTTGGTTCCCCGCCAGACCAAATGGCACTGCTTGCACAAGCGCCATTCAGCTTCGCAAACAGGTTTTGATCACCCTTCGGTGCTCAGCAGGCGAAAGGTCTTGGTGTCTTTGACAACCGCTGCTCCGTACTTGGCATTCCTCCAACGACGCTTGCTAACTCTCGAGTCTCGAGTCTTGCATACCGGACGGATACCCTGACATTCGTCCGGCCTACCCCACGACCCTGGTCCTACCTGGAGGGGCAGAAACTTTGACCTTACCATCTCACCTGACTGTACCGAGTATGCCATTCACAGGCTGCCCTTTGCCCGCCCCCGTTCCTCTGAGCTAACAAGCTGATGCTCGTCAAGACGCACTCCTGCCAAATCACGCGCAAAAGAAGTCTTTTGCTCCAACCCGTCCCCGACACAACGCCAGGACTCGACTCCTTCGTTCCTGAAGTCGTCGAAATGTCGTGGCAACCATCTCAGGACTCGCTGAGGCAGCTCGCTGCATGCCTCAGAGACTCCCTGAGCGGCTTCGATAAGAATGCTCAGAAACAAGCCGAAGTGGTCTGTACCTCCTCGCCTCTTTGCTCACATAGTGAACTGCTACTGAGTCCCGCCTAGATGCTGCAGCAAGCAAAGAGCTCCCCCGACGTTAATAATTATCTTGCATATCTCTTCTCGAGCGCCCACCCACCAGATGGGTTGCAATGCAGCGAATCTGACTACCACCTCGTGCGATCGGCTGCGGGAATCATGCTGAAGAATAATGTCAAATCGGAGTGGAAGAGCATACCGGAGGAGAGTCTTAACTTCGTCAAGATGGCTGTTCCGATGGCCCTGCAAGATAAGAACCCTCAAGTTCGCAACTATGCTGGAAACATTGCGACAGAAGTCATTAGGAGAGGGGGCCTCCTGAGTTGGCCTGATTTGCTACCCCAGCTGATGGATATGGTCGGAAACACTAGCGGCCATGTTGCCAACGAAGCTCAGGAGGGAGCCATGTCAGCCATGACTAAAATATGCGAGGATAATCCTCGTGTTTTTTTAAGAGAAGTCAATGGACAGCGTCCATTGAACTTTGTGCTCCCCCAGCTCATTGCTGCCACCAAGAGCCCGCTTCCCAAGGTCCGCGCCGGAGCTTTGACTGCCATAAATGTCTTCACACCTCGAGCTTCCCAGGCCATGGTCAACTCCATCGACGAGCTCCTACAACACCTATTCGTTCTTTCCAGCGACACTAGCCCCGACGTTAGACGACAAGTTTGCCGCGCCTTTGTTCACCTTGTTGAAAGGCGGCCAGACAAGCTGCAACCCCATATCGGCGGCTTGGTGGACTACATCATTTCGCAGCAAAAGGGAGATGACGAAGATCTTGCTTGTGAAGCTGCCGAATTCTGGCTTGCTGTGGGAGAGCATGACGATTTGTGGCAAGGCCTACAACCATATCTTCACAAAATCATCCCTGTCCTCTTGCAATGTATGGTTTACAGCGGTGAAGACATTGCTCTTCTTGGTGGCGAGTCCGACGATGAGGATGAAGAGGACAAGGAGCAAGATATCAAGCCAGCATTCGCCAAAAAGAACTTGAACAGGAATACCAATGCAAACGGTGACTCGGCGAATCAAAATGAAGGCGGCAATGCCTATGAAAAGCTTGCTGGCATGGATGATGACTTGGAGGAAGGCGAGATTGATGAAGTAGATGATGGAGACGAGAACCCCGATGAACGGTGGACGCTTCGTAAATGCTCAGCTGCAGCACTGGACGTTTTTGCCCGGGACTTTCGAAATCCTGTCTTTGAGGCCATCTTCCCTTATCTATCTCAGAACTTGAAGCACGAAGAGTGGCCACACCGTGAGGCCGCTGTCCTGGCTTTAGGAGCCGTTGCCGAGGGCTGCATGGATGTCGTTGTTCCTCATCTTCCGGAACTTGTGCCGTACTTGATCTCCCTCTTGGAAGACTCCGAACCTGTTGTCCGGCAAATCACCTGTTGGACGCTAGGTCGGTATTCAGAATGGGCAGCGGAATTGCCGGAACAGAGCCAGAGAGAGCAATATTTCGTGCCGCTCATGGATGGTATCCTTCGCAAGATGCTCGACAAAAACAAGAAAGTCCAAGCTGCCGGTGCTTCAGCCTTCGCCAACATTGAATACAAGGCTGGCTCCCACCTGGAGCCATATTGCGGGCCCATTATTCAACAGTTTGTTCGATGTTTTGGCAAATACAAGGACAAGAACATGTATGTCCTCTACGATTGTGTTCAGACACTTGCCGAGCGTATTGGATCATTGCTCGCCACTCCTGAGCTCATGAACCAGTTGATGCCAGCCCTGACAGAAAGGTACAACCTCGTCTCAGACCAATCTAGAGAAGTTTTCCCACTACTGGAATGCCTATCTTATGTTGCCTTGTCCCTGGGGCCCGATTTCGCCCCATATGCGCCGCCGATCTTCGTACGATGCATCAATATCATTCACATGAACCTGGAGCAGAGTCTAGCCGCTGCAAGCAATGGTGCTCTCGACACCCCTGACAAGGACTTCCTGGTAACTAGTCTTGATCTCCTAAGTGCGATTATTCAAGCCCTGGGTGAGGAGAAGTCTACAGAGCTTGTCAAGACATCCCCTCAGCCGTTCTTCGAGCTACTTACATTCTGCATGGAGGACCCGGCCGACGAGGTCCGACAATCTGCATATGCTCTGTTGGGCGACTGCGCAAATTACGTGTACCCATTGATGCAGCCACACCTGAGGTCTATTTTACCTATTGCCATAAAACAACTAGACTTGGATTCTATGCTGGACGATGAGGTTGGAGATGGTTTTGGAGCGTACAACAACACCTGTTGGTCTCTCGGCGAGATTACCATGCAGCACGGCAAAGGCATGGCACACTGGGTTCCTGGTCTTCTCAAGCACCTTGTTGAGATCATGTGCAACGCTCGCGTTCCAAAGAGCCTCGCTGAGAATGCCGCTATTGCTCTGGGTCGGCTTGGCATAGAAAATTCGGAGCTGTTAGGCCCGGCTCTCCCAACGTTTGCCGAGGATTTCTTAAGCCTAATGAAGAAGATCGAACCAACTGATGAAAAAGCTTCTGCTTTTAAGGGTTTTTCTATGATTGTGGGTCAAAATCCGCAAGCTATGGAAAAGGTGTTGTTGGATTACTTTGTGGCAGTTGCGCAGTATGAGGACTCGGAATTGCAGAATCCATTGAAGCAGGAACTTCACGATGTCATTCAGCATGTAAGTATATATCGATCAGCACCGGCGGTGACCCGATCCATGTGACTAACAGCGATTTGACGCTAGGTCCTGAACCAGTACAAGCAAATAATGCCGCAATTTAATGACTTTATCGGACAAATGCGTCCCCAGGATAGACAAACTCTCACAAATAACTACTCGGTTTAATTGCTCTGAGTTGGCTAATTCAGAAACATCAAGGCTGAATGTGCCGGTTGGGAAGCAAAGCATGGTCTGGAACATGGCTACCCTATAGCTTGAATCTTTGACGGCGTAACCTGTTTCTTGGCGATACTTCCAAGGTTGGGTGGAAAGGAATCGGAAGCAGGGCATGAATCAATTATGGAGGAAAACATCATGGAGTTGCACGCTTGATGATTCGGGGGGTTGGGGGAACTTCGGCATGTTTTTGGAGGCTTATTGTGCTGTGGATGCAGGTATACCAGTGGTTATGATACATTGTTCAAGGGATGGGTTTATGCATGGCACCATCAAGTCCCCCGGGACCAAATATTATACAAGCATTTGCAAATCCATTTACTAGATAGCTATAACGTAGATAGAGGCGTCTCGTTCAGCCAGGTCGAACCGAATGGAATGAAAAGCATTGTGACTTTGATTGGCAACACTTTGGACTTGACTTCCTTCCTTCACAACTAATCGACGTGGCCCTCCTACGGCACGGGGCAATCGGCTTGCGAGGAAGGTACGACGCAGCCAGCGTAAATGCCAGCTGGCAAGAAACCGATGTCGACAGTGGCTATGAATTGTGTGACTCTTCTTTTCCCCAAGAATGATGCGTGAACACAAAATCCAGCCTCTGCTGATTTGAACGCCCCATCTCCCCTATTAAATACATTTCAATGGATCGCGCACACGCATCGCCGCAGACTATCTCGCGTCAGTTATCCAGCAGAGCCTGAAGGTGTCTGGAAATGCCGTTCTAACGTCCTCGGTGTTTGAAGTTACCTGGTACGACTAGGTTCGGGACCATTCTTTAGCTACACACAAATGACATCCGCAAAACATTGGCATTCTCACCGCGCAGCATATTCCAAGTCGTTTGAATAGACCGTGTGTTCAAAATCACCATGAACTCTGCATCCGAAGATGCGATTTGCGAAGGGGGACCTTTTCTATTCTCTGTCCCAGGGACGTCAGGTAAGGTGGCATCCACCCACCTAGGCCTTCTGACCAAAAAAAATTGTGCTTACAGTGTACCGCCGTCGCCGGAGGCAACATCAGAAAAGGCAGTTTTCGATTGGCGGAAGGTCTGGCCATCTGATGACAGGCAAAAATGTGGGGGAAATAGGCAACACCATCATGCCACTAGCACACAAGCCATGATACGCCAGATTTGCAGAGAATAATGTGTGGCAGTACTGGCAAGAAGCCGCCAGTCTCCAAATTCAACATTTATCTATCATAAGTCTTGACGAAACAGCTTTCTGGTTCTGTCCGAAACTTTAAGTTATCCGAACAAGGCGGTTGGGTCGACGGTGCGCGCTTCAAAATGCCCATTGAATGGAAGCTGAAAGAAGGTATTCGGCTAAACCATGAGACGCTCGGGGTAATTGCAAACGAGGTAGTGCTTGGCTTGGCGGGACGGCTGGGAATCAGTCAACCTTCCTTTGTCACATGAAGCAACTCGGCGGTCTGCCAAGTCCACAAAGATTTGTACGGTACGCCAAGTTCTAAATTTAGGGTTATACCTCCCACATGCCGAAGCAAAAGAAGCTAGCTCCTCCATCAGCAGCCAGTGACCATCGTCATAGTACTTGGTCAGAGACGCCCCTGGTGTTTGCCATCCGGTCAGCCCATGCCATTCTTGCCCTAGCTTTTGCTCCAACAGAGTGAGCGAGAGAATCTTGGCGTACAATAGTGTACCAAATAATGTCTGGGCGTTGATCATTCAACCGGCAGAAAACCAAGGCAAAGAGCAAATCATCACGTGAGGCTCGCCAAGCTGCGGGACAACACCGGTCCTTTGCCTTGGGTTCAATCACACTTTTTTTGTCGCGATGCAGAAATGCAGAGTGAGATACCTAAGTCTGCTGCGAGGGCTATTGCCGAAGTGGTTCCAAAGTTCTGTGGAATGAAAGCTCCGGCATATCAATGTAACTACCCACGGGTACCAGAATGCAGTCACAACTCTCGCATTGATCTGCGGCAACCCTACGGCTTGGATCTCTGAGCAAATCTTGTGAAGTCAAACGTGGGTGCTATTTTCAGTCCGTGCGAAAGACGTCCCCGACTGGCTGCAAGGAGAGAACGGGATACACACTTGCATATGTTATGGAGTCTGAACAGACATACTTCAGACCGCTACATGGATGACGGTCTCCAAGGCGGGATCTCATCGGGCTGTGCCGAAAAACTGGTCATCCGAGAAGGCGACGCCATTCCACATGGTGAATTTGCCTAGAAGGCGAGAACCTCCCCAGCTTTTCCGCTAGACAACACGGCCGTGCGCTCCTTCCACACCACGGATCGCATGGCATTTCAACCCTGCGCCTGATAAACGATTTAGACGTTCTTCCTCAGCTGCATCTCTTGTGGATGCCGTTAATTTGAAGGTCGCATCTCTTGGGGCTTATAAAATGCTAACGATCAATATAGTCTGCAAGAACTGGACGAGCAGAATTACAAAGTTTGTGACTGTGGCAGACACTACGCTTTTGCAGTAAGCTACCGGTGACGAAGTATCGTTTACAAACCATCGGGATATTTGACGGGAGATCTGTCGGAGCTGGTGGATCAGACCAGCGCAAAACAAGATCATTACATAAATTTTGGTACCGGCTTGATAGGAAGTCAGCCACATCCATCAGGGATCGCTAGTGGCCATGAAACGTTGTATTTTGCCTCTTGCATCGCCCCCCCACACCTGTTCTGCGCAGACGGCACTCCGTAAAGCTTAACCTTTGCCCGAGGGTTTAGGGAAATGCCAGCGTACTAGGCCAGTCGGGTGCGACTTGAACGGGTGGAAGTGGGCTAACTTGTCCCATTGCACATGACTGCATTTCTGTGAGATCCTGCTGATGGCCTGAAATGCGCGAGAGCATCAGGGTGAAGTTGCTACCAGACCTTACGCTGCTCTAGCAGCAAGGGAGTCAACGCGCGTCGCTTATTATTCTTACCGGCCACACACAGGGGGGGACTTGGTGTTGGAGTACCGTGTAGGACAGCTACGTATTTTTACAGTCTCCCGTCCTGTCTGTGTACAGCGCAGCTGGGCCGCTATTCAAGAACCCTCTTCGATGATAAGTTTGAGTTTTTGCGGGTTGGTTGGGTTTCAGAATGTCCGACTGGTGCGGCAAGCATTTTTGGGGGACAGGCGCATTCGCAAAACCACAACGGCTAGTGCTGGACATATCATGCACTAGTAACTACTCCATAGATTCCAGAGGATCGACACGGTTTCGGCCGCTCTGTCAGCCACCAGGACCGGTAAGGCTACATGCGTACTCCATATACGCGCTGTCGTCTCGGACAACACAGGCGGTGGTTGATAGCCTCGGTCGGGTACACATGGAGGTATTTGGCGAGGTTGAACCATCATGGAGAAGGGCGAAAATGCAATGCAATCAACAGAATGGGGACATGCATATGAGCACCTGGCAACTAGCATGAGAAGGGGTGCTGGCGTCTGAGCGTTGGTCTGCAGAGACCTTAAGGGTTGGTGCCAATTTTGGACACGAGCTGATATCCTTCCGCCAACGAGAGGACAGGAACAGAGTGATTCAGATCTTGGGTCATACGCCGCAAGGTTTTGGGCATGACGAGCCAGGGTAATGCTGGTACGAATATCAGGGTTCAAACGACTACTACTCGTGCCACGCCCCACCATTAGGTAATTCAGCTACAGAAGCTCTCACCACCTATGGTGGTGCTTATCACCAAGGCGGGCACATCAGCAAGGCGGGCAGGTTAGGGTTATAATATGTAAACATTTAAATATTTAAATAAATATATTATATTTATT